AATATCTCTTGCTACCAGCTATTTTTTTTTCCAATATCATCACAGCGAACATAGACATTAGCATAATTTGGATTGCGCTGTTCTATTGCTTAGTATTTCCTCTCATATTGTTGACCACTTCCATGGAATGCTCTATTGTTTAATAGAACATCTATATAACTTGTCAGTTTTTTTAATGAACTTCTGGTTGTACAACAAATGGTTTAGAACTTCTTTTTGAGCCTTTAAGTAACTGCTCTACCTTTATTACACTGAATATAGAGCAATAATTTTTCTACTTATTTGTACGCCTCCTTTTAATGTTTTGTACCTTTTCAATGACATGTTGTATATGTTTTGGAATCGAGGGGAACAAGATGCAACTTACAAGTCCGGTCTGATATGCATTGCATGCCTATATTTATTACTTTTTTAGCAAATTGCTGCCTTGATTGCTAACTTATGTTGTTAAGGTTTGCTGGACTAGGAGCTGGGCTTGCCTGGGGAACTGTACAGGAATCTGCTAAGAGACTCGTCTTTGGTACAACTAAATCAGAAAACAAGCAGTCTGCCCTTTCGCCTTTTTTATCCGAAAAAAATGCAGAACGGCTGGCTCTGGCTCTATGTAGGATGCGAGGGGCAGCACTCAAACTAGGACAGATGTTGAGCATCCAAGATGAATCCCTTGTTCCTGCTCCGGTAATTTCTTCTTCTTCTTCTTCTTCTTCTTCTTCTTCTACTCCTCTCTCTCTCTCTCTATATATATATATATATATATATATATATATATATATATATATATATCGATTTATGGTTAGCAAGATGTTTGTGTTATCATGCATGACAAGTAATTATATGTCTTAGAACCCTCAATAAGTTTTATTTTGAAAACACACACAATAAAGAAAGACAAATGTTCCAACTTTCGAGGGAGAGGTAGGTGCTCAATTTAATTTAGGCTATTATATTAAATGAAGCATAATTTCTACCTTCTCCTAGCACAATATTTGTAGCCTATTTCTAATATGGTAATGTTATGTTCCTGGCTTTACTACGAGTTGTATACAATTGCTATATCTCTATATCACTAGTTGGTGAGTGGCCAATTTGGATAGCTACCGCTAATGCTTCTATGCCATCTACTTGTTTATCTGTCCTTATCAATCAAATGAACGAACGTTAAACAACTCATACCAATTCCTTTTATCCTCTCCCATTTTATAAAAGGGTTAATGTTGTTTTAAATCAAACAACAACCCAAAATGTCTACTTTAGTCCCTCACAATTCCTTTTATAGTGAAAGTTTGACTGAACCGGTTTGACCTGTTAAAATTGCTAAAATTGCTGAGTTGTCACATTTTGCTAATGTGTTTTTTGATTTATTTTCACCTTATAATTTACGCAGATGTGGCTTTTTAGTTTTAGTTTTATATTTTTCTGTCATAATAATTATTGTTCATATTTCTTTCCATACACACCTGAAATGATAAAACCCTCAAAATGTACACGTGGGGTCCATGTGAGCGAACATTCTGCCAAATCAGCATGCGACATGTTTAATGTTTTGTTCTGCATAAATGGAACTAGAAACCATAGTTGAGGGACTTTAACAAATCTTTTTTTGTAATGGACTAAAATGGATATTCAGATTGATAGGTTTAAAACAAGATTAACCATTTATTAAATCCTCAACTCTCTTTTAGTGCCTGTTTAGATTGTTTTCAACTTCATGATCGTTTCAAAGTAGAGTAGAAGCTAATGTAAAAGTGTCATTTTCTAATTCAGGATTAGGAAAAACAATAGCAAAAAATGAAAAAAAAACATAACATTACCCATTGAAGATCAACCTTCGTAGGAAGGATTATTGTAGCAAAAAGTGCAACCGTGAGCAAATGTACGATGGAAAAAGATTTCATTTTTGAAACAAATGATTTCCTTGTTTTAATCTCATTTGAGCATTTTATTGAACACCTAAAATGCTTTATGTAGATAAAAACATAAAAATACCAAGTGGAGAAAGATTATAAGTTAGGTGATATTTCTTTTTTACTTGATGGGCTTAATGAGTCAAGCACTCAATATCTACATCTATACATGGTTGGTTTTTTTTTACTTAATCTATTAAGAGTGGCTTAACGGGTTATGCCAGGAAGTGTGGCTTAATTCATACCGACACAAATCCTTACATATTTTAGAGGTGAAAAAGGAAACCTACCACCTCGCCCCTTCAGGATAAGGATTGCTCCCCTATACTTACATCTACTCCTTCATCATTCGACTCTCCACTGAAATTGCACCAAAGAGTTTGGTCGGGCTCGTTTAAGTTATACGAGGCTCGAGCTCGGATCGATTCAGGCTTTCTTGTATTGAGTTTGGATCGAGCTCGTAAATAATTATACAAGCTCGGCTTGGACTCAAACTCGACTCGTTTTTTGTCTAACGTGCCTAAATAAGCTAAAGCTCGGCTTAAGCTCGTTAAGAAGCTCGTTTGTTAATACCCTAAATCCCTAATTCCCCAAATATGTTTTTATTTTAATATATAAAAATAATAACAAATTATATTATATATAGGCTCGTTTAGGCCCGCGAGCCTAATCGAGCTTAGTGACATAAGCTCAAACTCGTTTAATAAACAAGCTTAATATTAAGCTTGAGCTCGGCTCGGGCTCGTTTAAAATCGGTTTCGAGTCGAGCTTTTAACAAGCCGATCCCGTATAGCTCATGAGTAGCTTGGCTCGTTTGTACCCCTAGTTTTAAGTGGGTTGATATGTAACACTTTTTGTTCTAAAGTTGACCACCAAGTGTCTAGCCGAGCATTCAGCTAAATCTTTGACTCGGCTACCTACAAAATGTCATCGGCAAAAAGCATACACCAAAGCATACCCGACTCTGCATTACTTCTGGGTATTCCAACAGGTCTCGACAATCACTATAAATCCATGTATCTTCTTCCCTTATTCTCTAATCCATGTAGTTTTCTTCCCTCGTTCTCTATATTCTTTTGCTTTCATTATTCTGAAGTCTTTTCTTGTCATCCCTTCTTCTCATTCCACTTCCCTTCTTCCCATTCCACTGATACTATGGACACCAACAATCCTATTGTTGACACTGAAGATCCAATGGATCCAAGCAGGAGATATGGTACAGTTGACCCAACAAATAGGCACAAGTTTATTTGCAAATTTTGTGGAACGTCAACTTCTGGAGGAGTATACCGACTAAAACAACATTTAGTCGGAGGTTTCAAAATTGTAAAAGATGCCCAAAAGTGTCCAGAGCATGTGCGGGAAGAAGTGAAGAACTATATGATCCAGAAAGAAGCAGAAAAAAATGCAAGAATGTTACACCCAAAATTTTAAAACAAATTTTTCATTTTAGCATATAAAAATCACATGTCATATTTCCCAAAAATCTCAAGTATCAACATTAATACAATTTATTATCAAAAGTTGTTTATCACAAAAACCAGGATCCTCCAATACATGTCTCCCAAGCGAGTGTGTGTACAATCAAGCCGGGGCCTTCCCGCGATCTTCTGAACTACCTGAAACACATAACACATAACACGGTAAGCATAAAGCTTAGTGAGTTCCCCAAAATACCACACACATATAATCAGCCACTCGGGCTATAACTCTACGAGACCTTCCGGTCAATGTGTCTCAGTGGGACCTTCCGGTCCCACAACTTGGGTAGACCTTCCGGTCCTACCCATGATGACCTTCCGGTCCTAACTCTGTTGACCTTCCGGTCCAATCCCTGTTGACCTTCCGGTCCAAACCATACAAACATATACATATCACATAGAACATATATCACATAACACTTATAAGCACATAAGACCTTCCGGTCACACATAGTTACCACTCTAGGTAAGGTATAGTGAGAAGACTCACCTCGTAAGCTAATGAATGAAAATCTCGTACTCGGGATCTCGAGCTCTACCCACCGGTCTAGCCTCCGCCTAACACATAATAATTATCCCTAATTAATATTGGCCCTCAAGAAGCTAGACTGTCCTTCTACAACTCACTGTAGGGTAAAAGACCATTTTACCCCTCCAAGGCTTACAAGTCCCAATCTTGACCAAACCCTAAAAGTCAACAAAAGCCAACAGCAGGGAGTACGCTGCGCGTTCCACCTCCCTACGCTGGGCGTACTCGGCTGCTATACAGAATCGAGGGTGCTCGACCCCTACGCTGCGCGTACTAGGGTTACGCCCAGCGTACGCCCTAGTTGCACTCTTCTCACATTTTTGGTCTTAATCAGTTAAGACATAAGCTTATATCTCAGATCTGGACCCTCTAATGTCTCTTAATTCATAAAGTCAGTGACTTTACGCCTTTGCATGGCTGTAAAGGTCACCAACACTCAAAACACCCATCCCCTTTCCTTATTAAGTTCTTAACTCATGCATGACTCATTCTTAACGTCCAAGATTGGATTTTTATGGCTCTATATCATCATATACACTGAAAAGGGGTAGATCAAGGTCTATGGAGTTCCTTTACTCATAAAGTCTCCACCTTTGGGACTAAAAACCCCAAATACTCCAAAAAGAAGAACCAAGACAAAGAATCAGAAAGAATGGAGCTTTATACCTTTTTGTGAAGCTTCTCACGTAGCAAAGCTCAGATCCAAACTTCTGGGGCTCTCACTCCTTCTCCAAGCTCTTTCTTCACCTCAAGAACACAAAGATACACTCACAAGCTCCTAGATGCACTCTCCAGCTACAAGGACGAAGATTTAGGGTTAGGAGGGTTTGGGGTCTGGGAATGGTGGCCAGAAATGAGGCCATCATGTTCTTTAAATAGGGAGCTTGCTAGCAATTAGGGTTTCATTCTGAGCCTAGTACGCCCAGCGTACTGGGTGACCTCCGCGTCAAGAACACGCTCACGAGTACGCGCAACGTACACTCACGTACGCCTAACGTACTCGATTATCACATAATCTTCTTCAAGGACTAAGTTGACAACTTAAGGAAAGATGAAGGGCCAAAGATATATATACCTGATCCCGGGATGTTACAAAGAACTACTGACCATTCAAATGTAGGGGCACTTAATGACTATGGTGAAGATGATGATGGCGTGGGACAAGGAAGTAGCAAGCCTCCACCTAAAAAACCAAGACAAAAGGGTCCTCTAGACAAGTTTTATGCCAATAAACCAGAAGACAAACTCAAAGGAAGAAAATGTGGAAAACAGCAAACAATTAACGAAGTATGTCGAAAAGACCTTAGGGACAAGGCTTGTAAGGAGATAGGTCGTTGGTTTTATGATGCAGGGCTACGTTTTAATGCAGCCTCTTATGATAGCTTTCATATTGCAATGGAATCTGTTGCACAATTTGGCCCGGGATTCATACCTCCAAGCATATATGAGCTTAGAGTTCCTCTACCTAAAAATGAAGTGGAATCCACCCAAAAAGTGTTGAAAGATTACAAGCAAGAATGGGCAGTAAAAGGTTGCTCGATTCTATCAGATCGATGGTGTGATTCAACCGTTTAGAAAGATATTGTGAACTTTTTAGTGAATTCTCCTAAAGGTTCAGTCTTTTAAAGTCCTTGGATATCTCAGAAATCAAAAAAGATGCAAACACATTGTTTAAAATGCTCGATGATATGGTGGAAGAGATAGGAGAGGAGAATGTAGTGCAAGTGGTGACATACAATGCATCTAACTATGTTAAAACTGGTAAGTTACTAAGTCTTAGTAAATTTTTTACTCGTTAGTTACTGTTTTGAGTACACTTGTCTTATTCTTTCATATTTCTCTTAAAACTCTTTTAAGATCAATGTTAGAGGCAACAAGACCACATTTATACCGGACTCCTTGTGCTGCTCACTGTATCGATCTGATGTTGGAAGATATTGGAAAGATCCCAAAGGTGTGGAATACTTTGAAGGGAGCTATGTTCTGCAATGGTTATATTTATAACCATGTTGGCATTGTCAACATGATGAGGAGATTTACAAATCAGAGAAACCTACATAGGCCTGCAATCACGAGATTTGCAACATCATTCATTACTCTCTCCCAAATGCATAAACAAAAAAATATTTTACGGAAGATGATCACGTCTCCAGAGTGGAACAATATCAAGTGGTCAAAAGTTGCTGCGGAGAAGAGACTAACATCAACTTTTTTGCAAGAAAGGTTTTGGAGAAATATAGTCTATGCTTTAAAGTTGACTGGACCTCTTGTTAAGGTTCTTAGAATGGTAGATGGAGACAAAAAGCCAGCCATGCGATACATCTATGAGTCCATGGATAGGGCTAAAGAGACTATTGCTGCTAGTTTTTTTGCATAAAGAACATTATAAAAAAGCTTTTGAGTATATTAATGCAAGGTGGTATTGCCAACTCCATAGACCCTTACATGCAGCTGGATTTTTCTTAAATCCATAATTGTTTTACAAAAATCCCAAGAATGTAATGTGTGCTGAGGTTATGAATGGATTGTATGCAACCATTCAAAGGTTGGTACCTGATTTGAGCACTCAAGATAAGATTGGGGAACAACTAGACTTGTATCAAAATGCCCATGGTCTTTTTGGCAATCCGATGGCCATAAGACAAAGAGACAAAAGAGCTCCAGGTAAAAAAAAAACAGTGGATTGGTCCCTGATTTTGTTACCTGATTTTTTTTTCCTGTTAACAGCTGATTTTTTTTTTTTTTTTTCTGTTAACAGCTGACTGGTGGTCTGCATATGGAGCGTCGACACCGGAGTTACAGAAATTTGCTATCCGAGTTCTTAGCTTAACCTGTAGTGCTACGGGTTGCGAGAGGAACCAAAGTGTCTTTCAACAACTTCATTCAAAAAAAGGAACAAATTAGCACAAAGTAGATTAAATGACATGGTGTATATAGGGATGTCAACGGATGCAAACGGGAGCGGAAATAGCTGCCCCCGCTCCCGCTCCCGAAATCAGTTGTTGCCCCCGCCCCCGGTCCCGCCCCCGGATCCCCCGTTTACATAGCCCCCGGTCCCGCCCCCGGTTACATCCATCGCCCCCGGTCCCGCCCCCGTTCCTCCGGTTCCCTCGGTTTATAGGCTTAAAAATCGATTTTTTTTGCTAAAAAACTGCTTTGTTTTAGGCTAAAAAAGCTATTTTTAATAACTTTAAAAGCATAAAACCTAATCTTTTAGAAACTAAAAAAATTAAAAATCCAACATTATGAATCCAACATTACAAAACGACAATTCCAACAATCTTACAAATATAAAATACGACAAATCCAACATTACAAATATAAAATACTTACATGTCCAAAAATATATTATCAATTCGCTAAACCTACACTAAACCTAAAATTAGAAAATCTATTTTGTATATGTATTTTATATTAAATATATATTTTTTACATAAATGTTCAACCGGGGCCCCCGCGGGAGTACGGGACGGAAATACCGACTCCCGACCCCGGTCCCGAAAATAAACGGGGTTTAATTCTGCCCCCGCCCCCGCTCCCGCTCCCGGTTTTTTAAAAAATTTAGTCCCGTACGGTATCGGGGTCCTGCGGGAGCGAGGTCCCACGAGGGTTTTTGACATCCCTAGGTGTATATCAAGTTTAATCGTGCTTTGCAAAAAAGATATCAAAGAAAGGACACCACAGATCCTATTCTTTTGAAAGAAATAGATGAAAGTAACGAGTGGTTGATGGGCCATATGGATGAGGAAAATGTTGAGGAGGATGACTTTGTGTTTGATGGAAATGATTTAACTTGGTCTGTTGTTGATAAAGCTTCTGGGGCATCTGAGCCTAATTATTCTACTAGGAGGTCATCTACACCAAGTTCAACTTCATTAAGAGATAAAGGAAATGGTGTTGCTGAAACCTCAAATTGTAAAAGGGCTTCTAGGGGATTTAGCTTGATTGATGAAGAGATAGAAGAAGATAATGGAGTTTCTGAAGATGATGGGGAGGAGTAGGTACTTGGGATTGATGTTGATGACGATGATGCTGATGAGTTTTAGGCATTTTTGGTTATTTATGATTTCTGTTATGTTCTATATTTGTCTTTGAATTATGACATTGGTGTTTTTGCTTCTTAACTTGGTTATTAAGTTGTTTTGTCTAGGAGTTATGGTTCTAAAATACTTTAACTTTTTTTGAAAATATAAGCGCCTTGCGTACGTGAATCCCTTGATTCGAAGCGCCTCAAAAAATGAGGCTCTCGGATGGCTAATCGCCTCGGAGCGCTTCACGCCTTTTAAAACCTAGCTTTAGTTACCATAGCTTTAGGCATCACCTTTGTTCTTATATATTGGGATCATTGTAGTGGCTCTCCACTCCTTATATATTGGGATCATTGTAGTTCTTATATATTGGGATCATGTTGAATAATGTTTTGATCCACACAAGTTCTTCCTCTCCAAGGGTTTGATTTGGACCAACAACTTTGTTCCTCCTCATCTTCCTCAAAGCCATCATTACTTCTTCGCTACTAATCCTTAAGTAAGAGCCCTTTATGGCGGTCTAAAACCTATCTAAAACATCATCTCTATTCCTATCTATCACAGTGAAGAAACTCTCATTATATAAAATTATAAATAATGAAAGTAGCTACCCCATTTCCTCAAAATATCTTTATCATTTACTAGAGCTTGGCCGTTGTCGTCCTTAATATATCTAACGTTCCATAAGTCCCTCTGTATTCTTTTAGTTTTAGCCGGCTTGTAGATTCCTTGCTCCCCTTATTTTGTGTCCAATCTCTTATATACCTCCTCGTAAGCCATGACCTTAGCTATAGACACGACCCTCTTTGCCTCACGATTGGCCTCCTCGTACCTATCTTTCGCCCTGCCTATATCTTTGTCCCGGATAGCCTCTGAAAACTCCTTATAGTGAGCATGTTTTACCCTAACCTTTGCTTGTACCTCCTTGCTTCACCACCACGATTCTCTATGATCCTTAACCTTCCCTCTCGACATCCCATAGTGTCTTTAACTACCACTTTGATCGTATTGGCTATACTATTCCATAACATATATGCAGTCCTCGCATGATCAGACGATGCGTGTACGGAGGGGGTGGTTTTTTATTGGGTTTTCTGATTTTATGAACGTAACGGAAAATAAGAACAACGATAAGAAAGCAAGAACAATGGTGGGGAAAGGTATGAGGGTATGTGGTGTCGTATGGTGGTAAGGGGAGGGTTATGCGGTTGTATGTTTAATGGTGGAGAAAGTTTGACAGAAGCAGGAGTTGGGTTTGTCCCAACAGCTGTTTAGATGGAGGTGACAAGGATGGGAATTTGTGGGTTTAGTACGGGCACGACAAGAGGTTTATGGGGTTTAGTTTTAGAAAAATATGGTTGTCGTTAGGGCTAGGCTGGCTGGGATATTGAAGGTGTCTGGTGCTACGGTTTGCACTTAGGAGAGTGTACTGCGATTTGCACTTAGGAGAGTGTAAGGAGTGTGGGAAACTTACATGGCTTCTGCAATTAACTTACCTGTGTGCTGCACTAGTCGGAAAATGAAGTCGGTGTTGTTTATGCTGCTGGTGATGTCTTCTCCGGTGATGTGTCGGAAATTGTAATGGATACATGCACAAAAATAAAGAGGAAGGCAATGTACACTACCGAAGAAGAGAGGGAGAGAGAGATAGTGTGTGTGTGTGTATATATATATATATATATAGGTTCAAATGTTTCACATCTATTGTGTGCTAGAATGCACCGATAAGAATTTAGTAAAAATTATATGTATATTAAATGATATCCATACTTATAATTCATTTTTATGGAAACTAATTAAATTCGTCATTAATGTCAACAATAATATTCTTTCGGAATGAATTCGTATCTAGAAGAATGAGAGTGTATTCTAGCAGAATGTGATTGTATTCTAGTAGAATACATCTCGTTCTTCATATTCCATTCAACTTTATTGTATTTTAAGTGAGGGAGTCCTGAAACAAACAACGAACCCATACATAAATCACTTATAATTTATTTTTATCGAAACTAATTAAATTCGTCATTAATGTCAACAATAATATTTTTTCAGAATGAATTCGTATCTAGAAGAATGAGAGTGTATTCTAATAGAATACACTCTCGTTCTTCATATTCCATGCAACTTTATTGTATTTTAAGTGAGTGAGTCCTGAAACAAACAACGAACCCATACATAAAAACCTAGGTATGAATTCATTCTGAAAGAAGGATATTGCTAACATTAATGACGAATTTAATTAGTTTTCATAAAAAGAGAAATATAATTATGGATATTATTTAATATACATACAATTATGGAAATCATTTAATATCTATCTTTATTTAATTAAATAATTATTTAATTTTACTAAATTTCTATTGGTGCATTCTACCACACAATAAATGTAAGAAACACATTAACCTTGCCCTATATATATATATATATATATATATATATATATATATATATATATATATATATATAAATTGTTGGTTCGGTAATATCATGGCATGTAAACTTTTATACTATTACCGTACAATGATTACTCGATTGGTATGCTACTGTCAACAAAACATGTTGGCTACCAAATATATTGGCTTCTAACTTCTTGGTTTGGTTGGTTTTCCATAGTACATTTTTGACGGCCCTAGAAAGAATGCATTAATTATTAATTTTCGCATTAAATTTGATTAAATGTTTATGCTAAATGTTAAAACCATAACTACTCAGGTAAGTTTAAAGCTTATGTATTCGTATTCATGTATGTATCTCAGCAAAGGAGTAGGAACCACATGAAGTAGTTACTATTTTTAACATATCTTTTGGATGTGTTATAAGTTGTTGAGATAGTATTGTACGTATTTCCTTTTATGAAATTTTGTTGTAATAAACCTTGATGAAATAAAAGGCATTTAAGTCATGGAAATCTCTGAGTTTGTATACAAACTGAAACATACTAAGAATCACAACTTTGAACAATAAACCCTTTAACTTTTGAGATTTTGTGGATTAGGCCAATCAACAACTACTTTTATTTTGCTTGGATATGTGGATATTCTGTTTTGAGTGATAATATGCCCCAAGTACTCGATTTGAGTTACTCCAAATGCATACTTGGTCAGCTTAGCAAATAAAGAATGATGATGTTAAGCTTAAAGACAACAGTGAGGTGTTTCAAGTGTGTAAGCCAAGTGGGGCTATATATATGAGGATGTCATTAAAAAAGACTAACATGAACTTCCTTAAGTAAGGCTTGAAAACACTATTCATCAGACTTTAGAAAGTGGAGGGTGCATTAGCAAGACCAAAAGGCAAGAAATTTATTCTGTCCATAATGAGTTCTAAAGGCTGCTTTACGAATATCTTTAGATTCCATTAGTAAGATAAACATGCATTACACTCATGAATCAGAAACCTTCTGACCTGAATGAGAAAACCTAAAAAACTTGAGTCTGGCATGAAAACCCAAAAGCGGTGGCATGAGAACCCAACAAATCGACCATCTAAAGACGACCATGCAGGCTGATGTTGATGAATGACATCCCAAAATTAAATTCGTACGGAACTGAGTCATTAACCGAAGACGACTAGCCAAGATCAATCGATTGAAGAACCGTTGACTACTCCACCCAAATTAAGTATTATGACTATACACACACATTTTATATCTGTTAGACACAAATTTTTATGTAAATTAGATGTAATTTGTATATATATTTATATATTTTTTAATATGTACAAACTGGTAGTATTTGTGGTATTTTTTAACTACGTGTAATTCTTGTTCCAGAACATGCAAATCTTATTTGTGCTTGGTTTATGGTTCTGAATCTTTGATGTATTATTCCTTGTAGATCTTGGCTGCTTTGGATATTGTCCGTCAGGGTGCTGATATTATGCCAAGAAGTCAGCTTAATCAAGTTTTGGAATCTGAATTAGGCCCCAATTGGTCGTCCAAGTTGAAAAGCTTTGATTATGAACCCCTTGCTGCTGCAAGCATAGGGCAGGTGAGTGGGAGTCAAAGTTGATTGATTTGCTTAGAGTGCATTTGGTTGTGGAAAATTGTTTTCATTTTTCTAGAAAATGTTTTCAGAAAACAGAGTTGAATTTTCGTTTTTAGTTTTCAATGAAAATTTTAGAAAATGCATTTGGTTGAAACCGGTGGAGTTTTCATTTTCTGTTTTAGAAATTTAGAAAACTTTGGAAAGCTGTAAAAATCACTTTTCTAATTTACATACAATTTGGAAAACAGAAAGTTTTCATTTTCTTGGAAATTATTTGAAAATTGAATCAACCAAACACGTTTACAAAATTTTCATGGAAAACTTGAAAATTTTCCACAACCAAACGCACTCTTGATGTTTTGGTTCCTTTTAGTTGTCGATTTTGCTGCTTGTTCTATTGGGGTCCTTAATCAACTTTCAAAACTGAGAGTCCCTTAATGCTACGTAGCTAAGATATTGTTGTTTATAAGTTTGTTCTTATCTGTGTTATGAGATCTTAACTTGTATGGGTGGCTTGATGATCCCACATTTAGTTTTATATCAGTAGACATATGTTTTCTGCAATTTTTTTTTGAGAATCCTCTTCACTTCAAATCAAATAACCTACATATAATTATTTCTTTTTGATAGTATAATTAGATCATTGAGTTTTCACATTGCAAGTTCTGGACCTGCATTTGTAATTGTTAGAATGCATATATAGTATAGGGTTTTATCTATTCCTAATGTTGCTTTTCCTAGTTTCCTATTTTGGTATTTGGTTTGTACATAATTGAGGCTTCTCCTCCTTATAAAATATAAGTCATGGTAATATGAGTGTTTGAGTATTTCACATGGTATCATAGCTAGGTTAGTAAGCATTAAAGGTTGGACCATTGTGAGTACAGTACAAGCATTAGAGGTTGTACCCTAAGAGTACAACCTATCACAACTGTTGTCAAGAAAGCCTTGTTCCGAAGTGAATCTGATCTCACCGTCACCACCAGTCTTCGCCCACCCCGATTAATAAACCCTGAAAACACGGAGCTGTTCCGACCACGGACCACCGCACAACCGCCACATGCCGCCGCTCTCCACTGTCTGTCCGCCACTCATGAAAGCACGTGAACCCTCTTCCCGGTGCCGTTTTTTTTGGATTCTAACTTCAACTACGGTTCGTATTTCACTGTTCAAGCTATATTTGGGTTCGTATTTCATTGATTCAATGAGACAATGATGATTTATTGGTATATATACTATACATGTCCTTGACTCGACAACAGATTTTCCCATACCATCTAACTCTGAGCCGTCACCAAAGCATGCAAGACCATTAATGATTCATGTATATAGTAGGCAATATCGACAAATGATGCCTCTGATACAACAATCAATGAGGCCCCAACTTCCCATACATAATTTTTGGATCTTGATATTCCTATAGCTTTTCGGAAATGTTAGCGTTCATGTACTTACCTTGTTGCTTCATATGTTTCTTATGATAAGCTCTCTACATCTTTCCCGTTTATTGGTTGCAACATTAGACTCGATATCGATCACGAAAACTGTTTGTGAGGCTTTAACCCATCCTGGCGTGTTGCTATGGTTGACGAAATGTATATCCTTGATCAAAATACCATGCAGAGTTTGGTCGAGTTGCCTGTTAATAAAAGGGTTTACTATAAAAGTTAATCCATATTGATCGGTGGCTCGTTTAAAGGAAATACTAGTTTGTAAGTCGGTTTATGTCATCTCCAAGGACTTCTCATTGGGACGTGGTTATTCACATTCTGAAGTACCTAAAGGGTGCACCTGGTCGTGGTATGTTATATCAAAATCATGGTAATCACGTCATTGAAGGGTTTATAGATGCCGACTATAATGGGGACCCTAGAAACAGGCTATCCACCACAGGCTCTTGCGTGTTCGTTAGAGGAAACCTGGTTTCATGGAAAATTAAGAAACAAAATGTTTCCCGGTCAAGTGTAAAATTTGAATACAACTATGGCCCAGACCACTTGTGAGCTGATATGGTTACGTAAACCTGCTAGGTGAGATTGGGTTTGCTCAATCTAAACCGATGAACCTATGTTGTGATAATGAGGCGACCATTCACATTTCAAATAATCCTATCTTCCATGAAAGAAGTAAACACATCGAAGTCAGCTGGCAGATGTCTTCACGAAAGTGTTGCCCGGTTCTCGAATCTCTACCATTTTTAACAAGCTAGGCATGATTAACATCTATACTCCATCTTGAGGGGGAGTATTAGAATGTATATATAGTATAGGGTTTTATCTATTCATAATGTTGTTTTTCCTAGTTTCCTATTTTGGTATTTGATTTTTAGTTTTGTACGTAAATAGAGGTTTCACCTTATGAAATATAAGCTCTAGTAATATGAGTATTTGAGTATTTCATAGTAATGAAACAATAGCTTCTTGAATGCTGAGCTCCTATGCTTGTCATTTACGTTATTCAATAACACATGCATTAATTTTTTAAATTTCTTATATTTTGTTGCTAACTGTTTTAAATGAATTCTTAGGTGCACAAAGCTGTCACCAAGGATGGTTTGCAACTTGCAATGAAAATTCAATATCCTGGTGTCTCAGATAGCATTGAGAGTGACATTGACAATGTAAAATTGCTCTTAGACTATACAAATCTGATTCCAGAGAATTTGTATCTCGATAGAGCTATGAAGGTAACTTACTAATCACAAGCTTTTGACCTATCTTGTCATCTGAGATTAGGCCATCCATTTCTTGCATTTCTTCTTCCTTACTGCCTTCACTGCTGTCCATAAACATCTCCATACACACATAAAGATAGAGCAGATAGCGAAAAAACTATAACCACCTCCTAGAGAAGTGCAAGGAGCTTTATTAGATTGAGTACTTCGTGTATGTTTTGCATCCACCTTCGAAATAGAGAGATTATGTCATCAGTATATATTTGCTTTTATGTTTTTTTACTAACAACTTTCAACCCCTAAACTTTTACTTACGTCTATGCTTCCTTGACATTCAACACACCTACCAAGTATAAATCTTTCATTAGGATCGCTCGCGTGGCATACATTCTCTTCCCTATCTCTATTGAACAAGTTATCAAATTCATTTGTGCACCTCTCTTTTTAACATCATCATTATTGTCCAAAGTATGAACTCCACGGGTTGTAAAATGTATAAATGTTATGAAGACTGAAGAAGCATAATTTATGTTGCATTTGAAACCCTTTTACAGGTGGCGAAAGAAGAGTTATCACGTGAATGCGACTACGAGTTGGAGTCTTCAAATCAGAAAACATTCCGCAGATTACTATCAAATGTACAAGGGTTTTATGTTCCATTGGTGGTAGATGAATTATCAAGTAAAAAAGTTCTGGCTACGGAACTTGTTCATGGTAAAGTCAGTATAATAATAACTATGGTTCCTGTCCCGAGGCCTTAAGTAATTTTACACTTCAATATGCTATCTCTGTTAGGAAATGAACTTGTTTTGGGTCTTAAAAGTTTATAACATATTTTTCATGCTGCAGGAATTCCTATTGATAAGGTTGCAGTTCTGGATCAAGAGACTCGTAATAATGTTGGGAAAAAGTTGCTTGAGCTTACACTGATGGAGCTATTTGTCTTCCGATTCATGCAGGCATGTTTTATATTTATTTCTTTCAATTGTGAATTAATTCCTCCTTGTGTAATTCTTTCCATGTAAAAAAGATCCTCAAAAACTTGTAGCCATCTTCAATTTAGTTCTTACTCAAATAGAGTGGTTGAAGTGGGTTATCAGATAAATCTTTTAAAATTCTTATGCTAGTTTTCTATTTTGTCTAAGCTTCCGCATTCAACTTCTCTAAAAATACATGTTGCAAAGGCAAAAGCTGTGTCACACTTTTGCCTTTTTTTAAATGGCAATATACTAGCACACCTTTATGCATTTGGTATATTAAGCTTCAGAACTGATTATTTGGACAGCTAGTCGTACCACCCCCCTTGAGTTTTTTGATGTATCTTATGCAGACTGATCCCAACTGGAGCAATTTTTTGTACGATGAGGCTACACAATCAATAAATCTCATAGACTTTGGAGCAGCTCGAAATTACCCCAAGCGTTTTGTTGATGATTACTTGAGGATGGTAGGTTTTCTTTGTTTCTGTAATTGTCATTCTGTAAGACTTTATAAGGGATTCAAACAGAAGTTTATAAAATAACTAGATAGTATTCTATGTTCAAACAGAAGTTCATAAAAATAAGAGTAATTTACAAGAATGGTCCCTAGGTTTGATTTTTGTTCCCAAACTTGTGTAAAATGACTTGTTTGCCGTTATGTTACTTTTTTATTATTTTTAAATGTGGTGGGTGTGGGTCCTACCACATTTAAAAATAATAAAAAATAACACATAAGATGATATCTGGTGTGGTGAATTGTTATTAGGTGGTTGCGTGTGCAAATTGTGACCGGGAAGGCGTAATCGAGATGTCCCAGAGGCTTGGTTTTCTGACAGGGCAGGAATCAGAGATAATGTTGGAGGCTCATGTTCAGGCAGCTTTTGTTGTAGGGTTGCCGTTTGCAGAAAATCATCCTGGGGGTTATGATTTCCGTGCTAACAACATAACTCAAAGCCTTTCAAACATTGGTGGAACCATGTTGAGACACAGATTGACACCACCACCTGATGAGGTCTATAGTCTACATCGCAAGCTTGCTGGTGCTTTCCTCGCTAGCATAAAGATTGGTGCTGTTGTACCTTGCCGGGACCTTTTGCTTCAAGTATACCAAACTTATCAGTTTGATGATTAGAGAGGTTCTTTGTTGCCTGCCCGCTTTATCTTGGTGTATTAACTAGATATGATATGATATGGCTAACTGGGTTAATAATCGTGATGCTACAGATGACAACACAACCATTTAAGATTCGATGACCAAATTGTGGCATTCTCTGCGTATTGTGGTATTGTTAACATTTTGACAAAATTGCCAAAGCTGTAGAGGTAGGTTAAGTAATCATATGATTTTCTTATGTTAAGTTATTGGTTGGATTACTCAACCTAGCTGTGTATAGTAAATAGGTACGCCGCACTCCCCATTCAATAAATTAGTGGCAAATTATATGATTTGATACTCTAGGTGGTCGCTTATACATGTATAAATACAACTGCGTGTCTGAGTTTGCTGATTCCTTTTATAGTGGGTGGCCTCAAGTTCTTTCTACCTACCATATATATATATATATATATATATATATATATATATATATATATATATATATATATATATATATATGCTATCATCTCATCCTAAAAGTAGGGGTGACAATGAGTTGGATCGGGTAATAAACGGATTGACCTGTTTAATTAAATAGGTTGAAAATCTCTATCCAACCCAATGCTATCATCTCATCCTAAAAGTAGGGGTGGCAATGAGTTGAATCGGGTAATAAATGGATTGGCCTGTTTAATTAAATAGGTTGAAAATCTCTATCCAACCCAATCTGTTTAAGTGACAGGTTGAGAATTCCCAATCCAACATTTTTAGTAAATGGGTTAAAAACAGATTGACCTGTTTATTGTTTTTTCAACCCTTCTTATTTATTATGGTTGATATGTTTAAGCTTTCACAAAGACTCCCCTTAAAAATCAAATAATTCAACCAATAAAATTACATACAATTTAAAAGTTATAATAATTGTTCAAGTTTACAAATTATACAACAATAATTTTATAGGCCTATAACACAAATATAAATAAGTGTTTACAATCATAAAACATTATAAATGTTTAATTTCTAAATTCTATGCAACTTGACTGTCATTTTTACTGACCATGGTTTTTGATAAATAAAAAATAATGAAAATATAATGAACAACTAAATAAATATAAATTAAAAAAATATTTAAAAGTTTTAAACAGGTTGGTCGGTTGTAAACATGTTGGGAATTTCAATCCTAACACAACCCATTTAATTAAACGGGTTGATCCATTTAATTAAATGGGTTCAAAATCTCAACCCAACCTGCTATTTATTGGGTTGGATTGGGATTGCCACCCCTACCTAAAAGCATTTACCCCGGTTCTTATTATGCTCTATTGTCTTTTGAGGATTTGTTTAAAATCCATTTCCTCTATCGAGATTTTGCTTTCCCATAGACCTCAGCCTTTTAAAACTTATATAGATGTGCTTGCTCAATCCCTGCCAATACTTATATGGTCCAAAGTTTTGTAGAGCATAGATGTAATGCAAAGTTCAAAAAAGTTTATCAAAATAAAAGAAAAGAAAGTCGTTGAAACACTGTTTATTGGTACAATAAATAAGCATTTGTTTTGGTCAAGATGCCCTCGTCTTCTGAGTTAGAAACAATCCATTATCAATTTAGTAGTCTGAGCACCGTCATGTCATACATTTGATGTCAACACCAAATCATCGAGGAGCCTAGGGATATCACTTCTTCTGTTAGGTAGAAAGGTAGAAGGAACAAATAAAGTTTTACTACATAGACTTTGTCTACACATCATGTCAAACCTAGACATTCCTTTTAAGATTGCCCATAAGTGCATGTTACTCAAATACTTAATCTCCATTAAATACTCACGAGTATTAGTCGCAATGTCAAACCAGAATTTTCATTTAAAATTTGAAAACATTTATTCCAATTACAGCTTCAAAGGTCTAGATAAACCATTTGATTCAAAATATTTATAAGAGTAAAAGACATAAGAGTTAATAAGTGAGAAAATCCCCAATGGATGCGATGCAAACAAACGACACCCTTCCTTTAATATAAGAAACCTGAAACAATTTAAACATAAAATATAAGCACAAAACTTAGTGAGTTCCCCAAAATACCACATACCATACATAACCATAAACATGTAATACGACCTATTTCAGCCACAAGCCTATTTCATCCCAAGTGAATGATATGGTCCTAATAATAGTCTTACAGTCACTCCTACAACGGCCTATTTCACTCATCGGGGCTATTTCATCCCAAGTGAATACTACATCACTCCTGCAATTGTCATGGGCTCCCCCATGGTCTTTCATGCAAATGCCAGATGCCAGATCCTGATCTTCCATACAAGTATCACAAAGACAACAACCGACCAATATAGTATATTGAGGAGACTCACCTAAAACATTTAACACATAATAAAACCATTGCAGCGGTCGAATGGTTTTTCAGCTCCATGAACACCTACCTCCCATATTCATAATGTCTACTTAGTTCGTAACTCGATGATCTCTTAATAATACTTCATAATATTTTTTTATTATTCAATGTTATTTTTTTTATAATAAAACATATTTTAATTATTAGGTTGAGCCTATCTCACTCTTAACCGTCAAAATAATCTAGCCTTTAGATGAAGCATATTACTTGTAATTAACCAACTTGTTAAATAATAAATTTTATGTGTTGTTATCTATTATTACCCAATAGCTATCAGATTTTTATAATCTTAATCCGTACAAAGAAAATAGTCAATAAACTCATCTTCTAATTAATTAAATCAAGACATATCTTAATAAATATTTTCCATCATATTAAAATCTTAATAGTCATGTATTTAGATTTAGTTAGCTCAAAAAATAAGACTTTGCCTCTTTCATACATTTTAACCTAAATTACTAAGCCCAAGTTCTTTAGTCAATCCATTATGTGGCCCAAACAAAATCAAACCTAGTTTCTATTATGAGAGAGAGAGATAGAGAGAGAGAGAGAGAGTGTGTGTGTGTGTGAGTGTAAGAGAGAGAGAGAGAGAGAGAGAGAATCAACCGCATACTCGTTAACATCGATGGCAAGCATGACCATTTCATCTTATAACCGACATCTTCCTTCCACCCCAACGACGCCTTCTCGCCAGTGAACCTGTTCTCTCCGGCAACATCGATGTGACACTTGGTTTTAGTGATGTTCTAGTTTCGAGACGTCGGGCCGGAATTTGATCAAGTGATGATATTGGGCTTCAAAGGAGTAGGGTTTAGGCCCTTTTTAGATATTAGCAATGTTGGATTAAGTGATTAAAGCAATCAATTTGTGCCTTGAAGCAAATGGTAAAATTAGGAAGATGATATATTGGGCTTCTTGCATGAATTAAGGATTTTAGTTCGATATGTTTTTATTCAAAAGTAACTAGATAAGAATGTGGGGCTCGTTGATACCTTTCCATACATATAAAGAACGCCGAAAACAGATTGAAACGAAGAAGTTATGGTTGTTTGAAGTTGAATTGGAAGTTTGGGGTTTTGCCCTACGCATGGCATAGCTTGCTGAATGTGGATCGAGTTTCTAATGGGCTACGCATGGCGTAAGTTAGGTTACGCAGGGCATAACTGTTGCTAACCAAAATCCTAATCCTAAGGTTTTGGGCCCTATTTAAGGGCTCTAACTTCTTGGAACCCTTCCCATTACCAGCGTCCATCACCTCAAATCGTTCCTTTGAAACCCTAGCCACCAATTGCGAGTTTCGGAAGCATTAGTGTGATTTTTGGGTGCATTCTTGAAGAAGGAGTCTATTGGAGAAGCAAGTGTGAGCTCTAAGCTTTGTAGATCCAGACTTTGCACTTCATCACCTATCTCAAGAAGGTATAAAGCTTGCATCCTGATGCTCCTTTTGTCAGATCTAGTTAGTTCTTGGTTTTTATGCTTTTTGTCCCATAATATTGGTCCTTATGAGTATGGGTTACTCCATGAATGCCTATTTATGATGTTTTTAAGGATATACAGTCATAAAAATGGGAGCTTGGACACTCTCATCCATCCATGCATGAGTTCTTGAGCAATAGATAACTTTATGGACCTAAGTATTGGTTTTGTGCTCTTTGTGACCATGAAAATGGATAAAGTCAGAGACTTTATCAATTAAGATGTTCATCTAGATCAGATCTTGGAGTTTGGGGGTTTGGCTTGCTGTATTTGGGATCATGGGCATTACACATGGCGACGTAGATTAGTTACGTAGGGCATAAGTCAACCGAGGGTTGATCGTTGACTTTTGGCCGGTTTAACTCTTGGACTTAGTGTTGGTAAGGCAAAATGGTCTTTTTCCCAAAGGAGGTTTAATTAGGAGCCTAGACCTTTCGTGGGCCAGTTATTTCCTTGATTGTTAATTAGGGTTTTATTGTGGATATATTTAGCAAGAGGAGGCTTGATATCATCGGCTCGAGTGGGTGGTTTATCTTATGTTTAGGATTGAGGTGAGTTTTCTCAGTGTACTCGTGGGTCGAAGGCACCAATGTCGGGCCACTAGATTGTGATATACATCCTTGTGTATAGGATATAACTATGATTTAGTGATCTGTTAGATTGTTAGATATGTATGATTACATGTACTTGCTGGTTAGTGTTATCTGTTGCATATGTCGACATATTGTGGTTGGATTGAGGCAGTCCTGCTTTGTGCTTAAGACCAATATACCACGGGCGGTCCAGTAGATACCGTAGGCCAAAGGAGCGGTCCAGCTTATGATGTAGGCTCGTGAGCGGTCCATCTTATGCTGTAGTGTGACAACTGGAAGATTTTGGATGAAGCAAGGTCTAAATTGTAACCATGTACTAGTGAATTCACAACGTAACTTTGTTGCAATAAAATTTTACAAACCAAAAAGGGCATTGTTTGTACAAGTTAATGTAATTTATACTTAGAAAACCTTGTCGTAATTAACATTGAAAATCAACAAACTATAAACAAAATCACACATTAACAAAATACCCCCCAAGACCGAAATCACCCTTTAGTGGGTGATCTCTAAACCGAAAACCCTTCCATGTGAAGCACCAAACCGAAAACAACATAAACCAAAAGCACCTAAGACCGAAATCACCATTTGAAAAGGATGTAGGATCGAAAACACCAAGAACAAGCCCACTAAGGCCGAAAACTCCTTGTGTGAGGGAGTTAGGACCGAAATCACAAAGGGA